AATCATATTATTATGAATAATACTTTAAAATACAACATAGTTGGGAGAGAGTGCAAAAAGAAAAAAAAAGAGAAGAGAAAACAAAAAAGTTACCAAATTCTTCAATGTTTTCTTTTTAATTTGATTTTCTTTTTCGCTTTCCATATTTTTTTTTCTCATTTTTTTTTTTTGGTAATTTCTCTAAAGCATTTATAAGTTTTCCCAGTTTCCTTTCATACATAGTCGTTTTTTTTCTCATTTTTTCTCTTTTTTTTTTTGCATTTTAACTTTAACTTTAAAAGGGTTAAGCAATGGCATATCCTTTAACTTAAGGATCTCATCTTAACTTTATGTAGAATGAAAGTAAAACTGCAATAAAATAAGTTAATATGGAATGATTATTTCGTAGAAGTGAGTGAAGATAGTGTGGCACATTTTTTTTTTTTTAGTGTAATTTAAATTTTTAAAATTTTTCAAAAATATTATGAAACAGATAATAAAATAATTTACACATTGCAGATAAGCAAAGCTCTGTGATTCTTCTGCTGTATGAAAACAAAGGATATGGAAAATAAAGCGTGCGTAAAATTTTAATTATTCTCAATTCATTCATTTAATTATTTATTCTCGAAAGAATCGACTAAATGTAGGTCATTGTTAAAATAACCGCCAGACAGATATGAGAGGAGCCACCAAATATGAGCCTGACTGAACAAAATTCATACAATGGTTTTTTATTAATTTTAAATAAGGAACATTTCAGTTACCTTGCACAATTCTTCAGACAAAAATATGTTCCTGTTCTTAGTACTTAGTAATTAACAAAATTGTGTCCGTAGTTAAATCTACTTCTATAGTGGCAAGAATCTACTTCCATAGGAGTTTTAATATTGTATTCCTTAAAAAGGTTTTATTTTACAAATATTTTTAAAATAATTCACGAAAATATCAACAAGAAAGTAAGAGATTTTATAATAAAAATTCAACTATTTTCATATTTTACTAGATCTCTTGAAAACTACATTTCCATAATTGGTTAATGGTACAATGTGAATAAAAAATTCTTAATTATACAAATAAGCCGAATTTAATTTTCGAAATAACGCAGTAAATCACAACTTTGTATTTAAAATTATTACCCAATTATGTAAAGAAAATAAAAATTTTTAAAAGGACAACATTTATTCCCAAAATTCCGTATTCAAGACTAAATGATTGCTTCATGAAAACTAGTTTTCCGTTTGAGTTTTATAAGCTACACACAAGATTGAATTTTGAGTGCATAATTTTTACTACCACCTTTCAATTTCTTATTCGAATTTATTACTTACAATCTAGAAATACAATCTGTAAAGAAAATTTTACAATAAAATATTTTAATACAAAAAGCAAAACTTTGTCTTTCAAATTCACAAGAGGGAAATTTACAATAAAGTTTTTCTCAAACATAAAATTTAAATTACGTTCACATTTCGTATTTATTTTTTCGGAATTTTAAATTAATAAAAAGATTTCTACATTGATCTTATAATTTAAAATTTGCATAAAATCGCAATTACTTGCAAAACTTAAGGAAAATTGCAATAGTAATTGTTTTTTATATGGTATTTAATTGATCTCATTTAATAAAATTGTTATTTGTTAGGCTTAATATTAAAATTTTTAAATGTGGAAGCCTTAAAATATTCCAATTTAAATTTTAAAATTTATAAAACTTCTCTAAGAGAGATTAAATGAAATTTTGTATCTCTGTCCTATTGCTTTTACGTAGCATCCCTGAAATATTATTGAATAACTCCAGTATCAATGCGTAAAATGATAAATTGTAGGGGTTTTAATGATTACATTGCATTTGAATTCCCATTCAAGTTATTTAATTTTTGAATGCGCATGCATTAATGGTATTTCGTTATACGAAATTCTTGGAATAAATAGTATCGTGTTTTATTCATTTGTGTCCGTAAGGAAGGCTGAAGAAAGGAATCTATAATTTACATATGCAGCTTTGAGTGGCATTAATCAATTATTTGAATATTAATTCAGTAATTGGAAATTTTAGTTAAATTGAGTCGATAATCCAAATTATTTCTTTTAAATCTAGTGATCCAATATAATAAATCCAGAAAACTGCGTGACTAAACAATCACTTTTTAAACCAAATCTTCTTTACATAACACAATTTACTTTCTTGCCACTTGTCAACCTTGCTATTGTCAATCTCTAACTTCTTTGAATTGCGAGAGAATCTTTTATAATGCAAAATTTTTAATAAGAGATGAAAAGAGAAAGTTTTTTTTCTATAGTTTTCCTCCTGCACACATGTACTTTTTTTGTGATTTTTAAAAATTTTTTTCCGTACCACATGAATGAGACCGGCTTGCTGTTTTGGTAACTTTTGGAATTCAAAATATTCTAAAAATAAAAACAATCGCCAACACAAAAATTTTTTCCTTTTGCTACAAAAAATTGCAAAAATTTTTTATATTTTTTTTATAAAATTTTATTTTTATTGAAGCGGTTCAGTCCATTGTTGTGTGTGGGTGTGTTTTTTGTCGGAATATAATCAAAAAAATTTTGTTTCAAATAGTTTTGACTGCATATATATAGAAAACTTTAAAATCTTTTTAGAAATAATATTATAAAAATATATAAGTAAAAATTTTATTTAAAATAATGGTGATGCAGAACGAAAGGTTCATGAAAGTTTTCTTAAAATAAACAAGAAAATGTGATTGAAATTTGAACACCTGTCAAATATTTGAAATCGGGGAATTGAGATAATTGAGTGACGTTAAAATAGAATGACACATGAACTTTGTTATTTACTTTTTGATTTTATTTTAGTTTAAATTTAGATGCTTAAGCCACATATCGTAAATTTTGAAATATTTGGCTGCTTCGTTATATACAGGGGGTTTTTAATATTATGAACTAGTAAATTAGTAGATTATATTGTAATATAGAAAAATTTGTAGTTATTTTACCCATTTCATACTCAATAATGCAAATTATATACTCAGCATCCGTTATCGTATCTGTACGTGATTTATATCGGCCATATATTAGAGTATTTAATGGAAGGGTCACAAAATTTCATTCCATTATAAATTCTTAAAATGAATTAATTAAATATTAATTGTTACTAATCAAATTAAAAATCCTTCGTAAATGTCAAAATTATTAAACCTATAAAGCTTTTATGTAAAGGAGTTTCATAGAGTATAATTTTTTCTGATGGTAACTAGAGTAGCAAGGGGGGATAGCAAAGTGACAGTAGTAAGTGAATGATTAAAGAATTAATTTTGAAGGATGAGGAGTATAATTTCAAAGATTTTGTATGGTCAGCTGGATATAACGTATGGTATGGCTCTTGAATGAAATTGAAAATCTGCAAATAAAAAATTAGATTTGCAGTTTCATAGACAGTAATTTTAATTTTTTATTGGCTATATCATTGTTATAAAATATACTTCATTCTATATAACATTGTATTTAGTAGCACAAAATTAACTACAATTTTGCAGTTTGCCATTTCAATACAATTTCAATACAATTTGCCACTTTTTTACCTCAGAATTTACTGCTTTATCAAGACAAATGATTTTGATCCTAAATTTTATTATTAACCAAAATATTTCTTTTATCCTATTATTTGTGATAACTGTACAGAATTTTAATTCAATTTCTTAAAATTTCAATTTTAAAGTCATTGTCCTTTCTCTAGAATCTTATTATCATTTGGAACAAATATAATTCCAAAAATTTATCATTCTTGACTTTTTTTTTTAGAATGTCGAATTTCACATTAAAATAAATAGCTAACAGCAAAGTTTATTCTTTTGTACAATATTTTTTTTCTATAATCGGAAGGACAACACCCGGGTCCAAAAATATGTACAATAGTTCTTTTTTTTTCCTCTAGGATAAAAAATAAATAAGCATTTTCCAATTTTTATTTTTTGTATTAAAAGATTATCGTAAAGTTTGGAAAATATTTTATTGAATTGAAAATTGAAAATAAATGAAACATAAGAAATTTTTCTACAATAATTGAAAATCAAAAATCAAAAATGAAAATTTTTGGAATAAATTTTAAAAAAGATTTTTTTATTATTTCCAATATTTTTTAGAAAAATGATTTTTGCATTTTAAAAGAAAACTTCTTTTAAAATGCAAAATCTGGTTGTGATGATGCGTGTGTGTGCGGTAGTACATCAGGTCGAGAATAAATAAAGAGTTTAAATGAATTTGTCAATAAAATAAGAAAAAGAAAAGAAGGAAAAATGAAGGACTAGCTATAATTCAAAATTTAAATTAAGGTCCTTATATAAATCGAATTTTTATTTAGTTTTGGTATAAAATTATTTTAAAAATTTCTCAATTCTATTTTAATAAAAGTTTTTGATTTTTAATTTTTTAAACTCAATAACCCTTATATAAGTGAAAATTGTGGCAGTATTAAAATTTGAAAACACTTTCTTCGTTAGAAAAAATCTATACCTTAAAAATTTTAATGTAATTTTTACGATATTCTACAAAAAACTAAGATATTTAATGCAGAATCATAACCATTGATTAAATTTGCAAATCGTTTCCGCAGGTGCGGACTTGTGTCCCTTGGTGGTTCTTACATTCACTCATAAAATCTTTACGGTATATTAGCGCTTTACTAAAGCCCCTGACAAATTACAATATTACAGTCATCGCGAGTACAAGCCCTTCTTGAAGTATCACGATCGCAAGCGAATTGCTGCAGCGTCAAGTTATCAATCAAGATCTATGCCAGTCCTAATCTCGAATTAGCATAGAACTGTTATTGTTGGCATTCCAAATTATTTCTCTGGCCCAATAAAACGAGTTGCCATATCCCCTTCTGTAGAGAACAATCAACATTCTCATTTCATTTTCTGGTGTAATTATCTCGGCAACCACATTAATATTACAATTTTAAACTTTATATTTTCTATGAGAATTTCAATCAAAATTAGTTCTAAATTTAATTATTTGTTTTATATTTTCAGATTAAATTCTCCATGTTTGAATTACAAGTGGTGAAATGATCAATATCACAATTATCTTTCAAATATTGATAATTGGATTTTCTTGGATGTTCCGACCATTAGAAACCTATGTATCATGTCCACCAGAGTGCATTTGTTTATCACAAACTCAAGTAAGAATTAATTTTTTAATTAAAAATAAAAATAAAAAAACAAAAATCTTCATTTAATTACTTTAAACTTTTTCTTTTCACCTCGTTAAATTATAGATTCTTTGCAATACTGGCGGTTTAAATCGTATACCATTAAGGACATTACCTTCATCAGTTGAAAATTTATCATTAACAAAAAATAATTTTTCTATTATAAAACCAGATTCATTTACTGGTTTACGTGCATTGAAAAAATTATCATTAGATACAAATAATATAACAAAAGTAAAACAATTTGCATTTCGTGGTCTACCACGACTCCAAGAACTTTCAATACAAAATAATCCATTAAAAACGGTTTCACAATTTGCCTTTGCTGGATTACAAAATTTATCAGCAATATTTCTTAGCCATAATCAAATTGTTAGAATTGAAGGTAATGCATTCGCTGGTACATCAAATGTTAATTTAATATTATTAACAAATAATCCATTAACACGTATTGAAACATCAGCATTTTCTGGTTTAACAAATGTCGGACATTTATTATTACCATCTGGTATTAGAGAAATTGAACCTGATGCATTTTTTGGTATGGAAAATGTTGGTTTATTAAAATTAAGTTATATGGATTTAAAAGAATTACAACCATATACATTTCGTGGTATAACTGGTGTACAATTTTTAACATTACAAGATTCTGATTTAGGTGTTATATGTGCTGATGCATTTAGTGGTTTAAATCAAGTTGGATTATTACATTTATTAAATAATAAAATTGATGCAATCGAAGAATTAAATATAACTTATACACAACAAATAAAACATTTAAAATTAGAAGGTAAGTAAAAATTTTTAATAAAATATTTAATTTTTAAATGAAATATAAGGGCTGAATCATTTTCTGAATAAAATTTTAATGTTTGATTTAGGGATCTCAGATTTTAGAAAATTATACGCAAAGCAAAGCCATATTGCATTCACAGCTTAGAAGTTACTAGTATCAGTAGGAGTTTCCTTAATAATTACGAATATTTTTTGAATAAATTGAAATGGAAAGCCGGTTTTTTTTCCGGAAACTTGAGTGTTAGCTACGAAAAGTAGTAACCACATTGTAGCAGCATAATCTGTAATAGAAAACTCTAATTTTATTGCATTTTCGGTGACGAGTACTGTAAATAGGCGAAAACAATTTTAAAAGATAAAATTTTATTCAGTATTTGGAAATATTGTAATTTGAAAGTTAACTGAATAAAGATGAAAATTTTCCATTAGTCATGGTGTTTAAAGGCATAAACTAACTTTGAAAGTAAGTTTTTACAAACTGAAGCCGAAAATTCATTAATTGAATTACATTAAATTCTCAAAACTAAATTAAACTGCAAAAAATTTATTAACTGCAAAGGAGGTTTAATTTGAGCTTAAAAATTTTTTCTTAGAAGAAATCGAGAGATTTTCGATTTCAGAGAAGTTTTGCCTAAAATACTTAAAACTGCAGAGATTAATTTATAAAAAAATAATGCGGCCCTTTAGTTTATTAGCAATTAGTTTCAACGCTGTTATATTGAATAGTTCAATGAATTTCCAAATTTTTATTTGCTAAATTATTAAATTAAAAATTTTGTAATACACATTTTCATTTTTAAATATTACTTGTTTATTTTTTTTTTATGTATATATTTTCGCAGGCAATCATCTATTGGAAATGCCTGAACCAAATACAATTATATTAGATGGTGTTGATATATTAACAGTTGACAGAAATCATTTTCCATGCGGTTGTCATATACATACATTATTAGATAGTCCTTTAGCAAATGGTACATATCAAAATACAGAATTTTTATCAAAAAATTATTGTATATCACCATTAGAAGTGAATGGTAAACCAATGATATCATTAGATATTGATGCAATTGGTAGATGTCAAGAGCAAGTGACTAAAGGTAATTTAGAATCATCAGCATCATCAATAAAATTTAATTCAATATTATATAATATTCAATTACAAAAACAAAAATATACAAAATATATAACAAAAAATTTAATATTATTACTGACATTACCATTATCAAATATTTATGAAAATTTAAAAAAAATATCATCAACAATATTATTTATTGATAATAATATTAACAGTAATAACCGATACTACAACAACAAGAACATTAATATCATCAACAATGGTAACAATAATAGCAACAATAACAACTATAATAATAACAATAACAATAATAAAAATAATAATAAATATAAAAAACTAGTACTAGAACAAACAAAATATCAACAACAAAAATTTATATTATTTTATTATTATTATTTAAATATTAAAAAAAAACCAAAAAAAATATATATTGAAATATTATGTCAAAATATTGAATATAATATTAATAATAAAAAACAAAGTAATGAAAAACAAATAGAATATTATAAACAAAAAATTCAATATGAAAATATTATAAAAAATAATATTATATTAAAATTTCAACAAATATTTAAATATAATATGGAAAAATATCAACAACAAATAAGTCAAAAACATATGCTAGAAAATATAAAATGTATAGAATATAAAATGAAGGAGAACAAAGAGGAAGAAAAAGAAAATTATCATAAAAATAATAATATAAATAGAAGAAGAAGAAAAATACAAAATAATAATAATATAAAAATGCAAAAATATAAAGAATCAACAACAATAAAAATAATAATAATATATTGGAGAAAAATTATAGTAATTGTAGTTGTTTTAATGCCAGAAGAGAAAAGAGAACAGCAACAACAACAACAACAGCAAGAGCAACAACAACAATATGAACAACAAAATAACATCAAAATAAATAAAGCACAAGAAATGAGAGAACAAAATCAAGAAGAAAGAGTAAAAATGATAAAACAACAAAAAAATTATAACAATATTTTTCTTTATCATCAATATCCGTGCCATAATCAGGTGATACTGCTAAAAAGAGAAAAACAACAAAAGAATCATTGCTATTATGAAATTGAAATTTTGCTGCAAGGATATCATCATTTAAATCAATATCATCAAAATCATACATATTGTCCTTATTGTCATCAATATTACAATCATTGTTATCATCTACAGCAGCATTATTTTCACAAATGTAATCAACAACAACAACAACAACAGCATCCAGAACAGTATCTACATCAATATCATCAACAATGTCATCATCATCATCATTATCATCAATATTATCAGCATCATCTTTATAATATAGGAGAGAAGTATGAGCAGCATCAATATATTTCTTACGGAAAATCAATTTATTTAAAATTGACTTTTACTTTAGGAATTTATTTAGTTTCTTTAATGGTATCATGTTTATATCCTTATCAAATCGAATTACAAAGGTGAACTTAAGCAATGTCCTTTTTTTTTCTCCTTAATTTTTTTTTTGTCAATTTTTTTGAATTTTTGAAAAATGAAAAAAGAAACAACAAAATAAAATAATTTTGTTTTTCATTTCAAAAAGTAAAAAAGAGAGAAAAAATTATTTTTCCTTCTTTTAATTTAAACTTTACAAATATTTTTCTCTTTTTTTATTATTTTTTTTTAGTTATTTCAAAAAGTTAAGGTTAAATAGGGGTTAAAATTTTTTCAAAAATTAATATTTGATTGAAAGAAACAATATTATTTGTAGAGAGAGAGAGAAAGAAAAAGAGAGAGCGTCTCTCTTATAATTAACGAGAATTTAAAGAGAAAAAAGAAAACCTATTACTTTACCGTACCGTAACTTAGAAAATAAAATGAGAAAACAAATTTCAATTGCATACATTTAGGATAACATTTTCTTGTTATCAATAGTAGGGGATTGTTACACCATAAACAGGTTAATTTTATTTAAGTTTTTAAAAAATAATCAAAAAAAACATAGAGAAATAAAATTTGGGGAGATTTTACCAAAGCCTTGAAAAAATCAATTTAATTAATTCATAGTTAAATCTGTTCCAATTTAATTTTAATTATGATGACATGCTTATGGGACAAGCAAATTTCAATTACACATATTTATATATTTAAATGAATAATTTTATAAAATATAAATAGATATTATAATGTTTTGTATATAAATCAGCTATAACTTACACTGCCATTCTATAATATTATAGTATATAGTAATTAATTATATAATATTTTTATATTCACATAATTATATTTTATCTTCATATTTACTGCTTTTATCCTAAAATTTAAAAATTTATTGAGAAATATTTTAAATATAAAACATGCTATACCAAATTTGAGCTCGAGATTTTATAGAATTTCCAGAAAAAATAAAAAAAATAAAAGGTATTTTTCAATTACACCCTTACCTTACACCCTTTGTCATTATGTCTCATAACGAAATTCAAAAGGTTTGGAAAAAAAAAAATTTGGAATTACATATGCCAAGTTTTGGGTTAAATCACACAAGAGAAAGACACAATAAATTAATTTTCAGCCACATAATAAGTGAAGAGAGACGGCAAAAAATAGCAAATGTTTCCCCATTATTTCCTGTTGTTCTATGACCGTCATATTACCTAACTTCAGAAACATCACCAATTCTCGAAAAAATTTGCCTTTGTTATTGAGATTATTTTCGTAAATTCTTTTACGATTATCAAACAAAAATGATAAAATTTTTAACCCCCATTTTACCTTAAAATTTTCAGTAGAAATTATTTATACTGTTATTTTTGATTATTTTTCTATTTTTCTTTTTGTTTTCTAAATTCTATTTCTATGATTTCTTTCTTGTTTTTTTTTTTTTTTCAGCTCCAAGTTTCAAAAATTTTCTTTTGCTTTCAACTCAAATTCAATTCAATCATTACTATTATTATTTTTTATTGTTATTATTATTATTAACTACTATTGATTTAAACATAGACATAAAGCAAAATATATATATATATATATAAAATAATAATATAAATAAGAAAAAAATAAAAAAAAAAATAAAAATATAAAGTTACTATATAGAGAAAATAAAGAATAGGAAATTTTTATTCCTTGTTGCTATTTAAAAACAAAACAAAAAAAAAATATTAGAATTAAGTTGAACAAGATGAAGAAAACATAAGGATACCCCTAGTAAAAAATTAAAGATAAAAGATATATATATATATATATATACAATATATATAAAATATATTTTTAAGGATTAAAGTTTGTCGTCTTCTTGTATTCCATGTATGATTTTAGTTTTAAAACTATATAAGAACAACAAAAATAAAACAGGAACAGAAATTAGGATATAAAAAAAGGATAATAACATTATTATTTTTATTGTTTTCTTTATTTTTATATGTATACATGTATGTTACTTGTTACTCTATCTTAATTTTATCTTAACTTCATATATTAATGTACATAGTATATGTAATATTTATTACTCTATATAATTTATGTATAAAATGTATAGCTTAAAATTTTTTGAACAAAACTTCCCTTGCAGGAATTTCTCAATTTAGTTTTTTATTCAATTATATATTTCCAAAAAATTTTATTTTTAGAATATTTCAACTCAAATATTATATTGTTAAAGTTGTGCTTTTATTAAAAATGTAATCGGTAAGGATATTTATTTATATAAAAAGAAAAATTAAATACATAATATACAAGGGTATTTTTTATTATTAAAAATTTAATTAACCGGCATTATAAAATATTCTATATAGACTCAGATTATTCAAAAATGCAATGAATTCTAAAAGTATCCTGATTCTAGAGTTCTAAAATAACAGATTATGAGGCATTGTTTGTATAAATCGATTACATGTAATTAATAATTTAAATGCAGAAATTTTGAAAAATTTTTAATATTTCTTTTTATTAAATTAAATAATATGCCGCTTATTCGCAAGAACAAAGACGCAACTCAAAAGTATGACATCGACTTGCGGGATTTGAAATATTTATATAGCCGAATGTAAATTACTATCAAAGGCTAATGAATGTTGTTATAGAAGTTGGTGAGACAAGTACATGAATAAGTTTTCTATATTATTTTGTTACAGAAAAGCTTTACATATATAATTGAAATGTAATAGTAATAAAAAGAAGTTTATGACTCTGCATTTTGATTTACATTATGTTATTGTTGTCACAAATGTGCGATATTTGAAATGTATTGGTTTTCGTTGACTTTTTTTTTAAACTGTTTTAGAAAAATGAATTATATTTTCTATAATTTAATACGCAGTCTAAAGGTAATAACACCTTTTTGTTATTCTGTAGTTATTCTATAGTTCTTTTATTCTGTTATTCTATAGTTCTGTAAACTTATAGCGCAAGATCACCCAAGCCCATTTAATATTATACAAGAGATATTACAATCACAGAGATACATACGAACTAAGCATATTATTTAAATACTTGGTTCAGAAAAATTTGATTTAATCTACACGAATCTAAAGAAATTAAAGATGATTTACTCTATAAAATTAAAATGATTTCCAAAAATTTAAATGATCTGGAATGTCAGTAATTATATTATGGGGTTACAATAATATCAATAAGAGCTGTAATAACAAGCTTTATAAACCTACTTAAAAATAAAATACACCTATTCACAATATTAGGCGAAGTGTTCATTTGCCCTTTATTCGATTGTATAAGTAAAGTAGTGTAATATTATACATTTTACATAGATTAAACATGAAATATGTGTTCTCTTTAATAGAATTAAATTTTCGATTTACATGATCTTATAAGATATCCTCCACGTGAAACTAAAGGTTTTTTCCGAAAAATTATTTCAAAATATGAATTTTTGTTTTCAACTTTAAACCTCGATATAGTTGAATCAATTGATTTAGATTTGTATTATAGCCCCTTTTAACAAATTATTAAGCATCCATTTAATATTAATAAATTTTGTATTAAAATTTAAATTCTATTTAAAAATTAAATTAAATTTGAAAAATTTTATTAATTTTTTTTTTTGTTTCTATTCAAATTCAATAAATTTACAATACGAGTACTAAATTTCTAATAAAATTAATAAATACAGGGTGAACCTGTAACGTAGTACAATATCTCGGCGGCAGAGATGTAAAACAATTTTATGAAAAAAATCGTACCGTTCGGGATTCTAAGGGTTAAATACCTACTGAATATCCCAAAATCCCAGTTGAAAATTTTAGGCTTCGAAAAAAAGATTTATCGATTTGAATAGCTATAGTTTCCACAATTTTTAACCGTTTAAAAAAAAAAATTAATATGCAATGGAAATCTGAAAAGTAGGTTTTTATTTGAACGAAATACACTCTGTCATTTGAGG